TAACCTGCTCCTGATGGTCCAACAATAGCTATAGTTTGTCCAGGTAAAATGCTGAATGAAATATTTTTAAGAATAGCTCGTTCGGGTTGATAATAAAAACAAACATTATCAAATTCAATCATTCCATTACTAATAACAATATCTTTAGCAAATGGTGAATCTTCAACATCAGGTTTAATATCAAGTAAATCAAGCATATTTTCCATATCAATAAATGCTTGTTGAATAAGACGATAATATGTACCAAAATAATTTAATGGTGCATATAATTGAAGTATATATGTACCAAATAAAACATAATCACCAACAGTTAATTCATGTTTAATACTAACAAGCCAAGCACAATAAAGTGAACCAATTGTTAAACCAATACCAATAAAAACAGCTTGAACAAAATTTAATAATTGTAATGTTAATTGATTTATCCATTCAGCTAATTAAATAATAAGAAAATATTTTTAAGAAATAAATATAAAAAAGACTTTTGATTTGAATTCAATGTTATTTACCTTTTTGATATTTTTGTATAGCATCTTGATATTGTGTAACTTCATATCGTTCTGCACCATAATATTTTACTGTTTCAAAATTTAATAATGAATCAACAGCAGTTGCATTCATAGCATTATCGAATTTATTCATTTCTTTTTTATATTTTGTACGCCATTCTGTTATAACTATTGTTAATATAAGATAAATTAACATTGTTGCAAATACAATTATACCAAACCTTGAAAAAAACAAATTATTTACAAAATTAAGAATAAAAAGAAAAAAAAACCAATTTTAACTACCATATATTAAATTGTATAACAAAATAGACAATAGCAATAAGAATATCTGCTATTGTTGGAAATATACTAAATAATACATAATCAAGTAATGAATCAACTGAATCAGTACCACGATCAACAATACGTAATACTTCACCAGTTTTTCGTGATAAATGCCAACTTAATGATAAATTATGTAAATGTGAAAATACTTGAAGTTTTAATGATCGTGTTGTATATTGTTCAATTTTTGTCCATAATGTTGTTCGAACAATTCCTAACACACCTGAACCAAATAGACCAGCACCTATAAAATAAAACGATTTAAATGAAAATAATCTCCCTACAAAAGAAATTCTTTTGTTATTTACCTTGTAAAAATCGAAAAACCATTAAAACAATAACTAATCTCCATGGCCAACTATTTGGTGCACGTAATCGAGCTCCCAAATTTAAAAATGTATCAGTTGTACTATTATTCGATTCAATTAATTCATCAGCTATTTTTTATTAACAAAAAAAAAAAAAAAAAAAAAGAAAATATTAGAAGAACATTTTTTCTCTTTTTTCTTTTCTAATCAAAAATTAAAACTTACTAATTAATTTTGTATATCTTGGTACTTCTAATGAAAGTAATCGACCAGCTATAAGAATAAAAATACAAATAATAATATTAATTTGTAATCCACATTGTCCACGTGGCCATATAAATGGTGCTAAAAGTTTAAAATGTCGAAAAAATTTAACCCAAACACTTTCTTTCATTTTTTCTTCTTCAATTTGTGAATGAGAACGATTTAACATAATAGCATAACGTCGTTGTGGTACACCAGGTGCACGAAGACCAATACAAAATATTAACATTGTTGCAATTAATCGAAATATCCAATAACTAAAATGAATTATATGAATTCCTTCAATTGGTGGATAATGTCGAATTATTGGTTGAAAAAACCATAATGGTGAACGATAAGATATTAATGCAAATAATTCAATTAAAAGTGCTATACACCAAAATGTAAGTATTATTAAACCATGACCACGTGTTTGAGCTGTTGGCATTCTTTTAGTTCGTTCAACACGAAGTATTAATAATGAAAGTAACCAAGCAATTGTACGAAGAACACAACGAAATATTGTATAACCCGGAAGCTAATTTAACGAAAGAATTATTTATCGTTTTTTATTTCTATTCTTATATTTAAAAAAAAAAGAAAAACAAAATTCATTACTTTAGTTTTTCCAAGTGCTGTTGTTTCAGTTGCATATAATAATATTGGTTCACATGCTAAGAGAACTGTTAATATAACTTGTATAACATATAAAACTGATGCATCAATATATTCATGTTCAATTTTAAATCCATATCGTCTAAATTTTCAAAACAAAATTAAGAAATAGATCAATATTAATTTATATAAATAAATATACTTATAAACAATAAATTGAATTAAACCCAAAATAAATATAAAACCAAATAAAATTGATGTTGTAAGTGTATCATAAAAACATAATGTAAAACCATTTTGTATCCAAACTATCATTCCACCATTAGATGTTGTCTCATTTAATGAACAGAACATTTTCATAAAAATTTAACAAATATTTAAATAAATATAAAAGCTAAAATTTAAAGAAAAAAAAGAAAAACTTCTATTGCTATTCGAAGTAATTTTCTATTAATTTTTTTGGATTATTAGATAATAAATAATTACTCTAAAATATAAGATCTATGACAAAGACAACAGAAAAATAAAAACGAGAGGTCACTTGACTGTATCGCATGGGCTTTCTTTTTTTTCTCAATGTAATACAAAGAGAAAATATTCTTTGCTAGGATCATACGCAAACAAAAAAAAAAACAAGAAAAGTAAAAAATAAACAACCAATCGCATGGGTTACTAAATACAACCAATGAATGACTCATTGATGTAGTTAGTTACGTAAGGTAATTTTATTATCTCTATTGTTTGTTTTTTAATTATTTTTTTTTTCCTAAACATTTATCATTTTATATAAAATCTATAATGTAATAAAGATCGTTGTAGTTTTTATTTTATTTTGAAAGTTGATCTATAAGTTTAAATTTTATACAGATGTCTATTTGCACATCACATGAATATTCCAAGGTCATCAAGTTTGGATAGAGATCAAGCGGACGACTTTTGCTAAATTTGATCGGATAGCAAAAAACAAACGCTAGAGACACTCATGACTCATCGATCTATAATAATTTTATTAAATAATGATTGATTTATTTTTATATTCGATTAATATATACTATAATAGTCACATTTTATTTAGACTAATAATTCAACATATTCTCTCGAAATGATTAATTATTATTTTGTGCTTTAAGGAGACTTCTCCTCTTTTCGATGTTTCTCGAGAACGATTTGGTGAAAATTTTTGAAATTTTCAAGATAGATAGATCTCAATGAGTAGAATAAAAGTTATCATAGACTCACAATTCTCAAATGCTTTCTTCAGGGCGATTTTGAGAGGTCAAGGGTCAAACATGACCTGAAGTTTTCTTTCACAACAAACGACCATACTACATTATTTTGGCCTGAAATTTGTCCTGCACAAACTAAGAACAAATCTGGGTGCGTAGTTTTTGTGTCTTTGAAAAATATTGTTTCTGACGCTCAGGAAAAGTAAAACACTGAAGATACTATCCAAAAATTATTAAAATCAAGATTTTTTTTCTGGATACTGCTAATTTTGTAAAACCTACCAAACACAAAAAACCTAAAAATTTTGCGTCGAAAAAGGGGTTCCCTTAAATATATATATGCTTATCTGGCACACTTAACGTCAGCTTTAAATGCGAATTCGAACATGTGTTAATCAATAGAAAAAAAAATGAGATACATAGATCTCATTTAGAAAATTAAACTATTAAATAATTATGATAGCAACAGCGTCAGGATTTTTATTTGGAAAGTACGCTGATCTCTCTCAACCCTTCTGTGAAACGACTTTTAGCAACAATTTTAAAAATTTTCTAAAGGGTTTCAGCTTCTCTGTGGCGCCGCCACTAAGTTATGATTTGAGTCAAAAATGTTCGGATTAAAAAAAGAAAATTTATTAGTTTCAAATTTTCAACTGAAAAAAAAACAATGATCTATCAGTATAGCAAGATGATTTCATTTTACATTTCTTTAACACTAATTATTTATACATATACATGAACTTCTAAAAAAATAATTTAGTTAAAAAATTCAATTCGTAAATAAGCGATCGAAACATAATCGAGTAATAAGCTTTTATTCTATGTTAAAAATAAGCATGATCTTGAAGAAAAAAAAAAATATGATGTTTGAAATGGCTTAATATTACGAGTATTTACCGATTTATATTCTTCAGTCGAAAGTACGTAATGAAACTTTCTCAGTAGGCACCAGCATATAATTTTAACTATACGATATTCAAACTTAATATGACTATCATCGATAAATAAGTTTTTATTAACCACAAAATCTTTGTTGTTTCTTTCGTTCTTGCTTAATATTATAACGTCATCTGTATTTTATGGTTATTGCGACGATATGCTAACGACCAATAAAGACATATACAAGAAAATGATTTAAATGTGATGTGATAGACATTTTCCCACAAAAACAAAAAAAGTGTAATAAATATTTTTTTTTGCTTAGGCAAATATGGATAAGTTATATGAACAAAAAGCTTAATAAACTATCATTGATAAATTATTGAATCACATGATTATTTGTAGGATGAGTCATTATAAATTGTGTTTATCTGTCGTTTATCCATTTCAAATATAATAAATTATGGCATCGGATAGGAATGATCTTATTCAAAGTGTACGACGTGGTGATTTAGTTCGAGTTCGGTATGAAATTAATTGTT